CACACATCTGTTCGGGGTGAGACCTAAGTAACTATCTATCCATCCATCCATCTAATCTATCAGGGCCTCTTGTCAGTCGTGGCTGAAGAAGGTGGACATCTAATTTCAGAGAATGCATAAATGTCTTTTACTTAATGCTCTGCAACTCTCTTCTGACCTTGGAGATGAACATCAGAATGTAAAACATAAAATATCCCTTTTTCCTTGATGTCAGTAAATCTGTCGAGTGATGTTTACGCAGAAAGGCATTTTGATCTCATAAACGGTGGCAGCAACTTTACTACCATCTCGCATCTGTCTTGCACTTGTGTCACAGCCACCACTGCAGCTTGTCCTTATTCGCATGTGATTAATCAGCGAACGTGTGGAGACTTTTCCCCTCAAAACAACTATTTTAGCTTTTTAGGCGGACCAGGTCTTTAAATTCCAAATAGCTGAGGTGCCACAGAGACGCCACGAGGCAGATAGCTTGCAGCAAATACTGTTAGGTGTGATGGATGTATGTGAAGTTTGGCCTCTAAAGAAATGTGATGCTGGGGACACTCTGCTGAATGAATTTAATAGCTGTCACACATCTCTCCAGCTGAACTGGTCGTCCTGAATTGGACAGGATGGCAGCGAGCGAGCCTCAGAACTTCACTCCGCGAGTACACCCACCAGACCTGCGAGAGAGGCAACTGCCAGCGTGGGAAATTAACACCAGCCAAACAAAGAGTGGGCACTGTTAAAGTTAGTCAGTTTGTAAATTAGTAAACACTACAACACCTTTAAGCGAAGTCCTGAATCATAACTGGCAGTATGGAGAAAATCCTCGTCAGCCAAAAGAAATGTGGGCATTGACACCAAAGTTTGTCACTTTCTTAAAAGTTAGTAAACACTGCAGCACATTTAGCACATTCTGTACAAGAGTTGTCGCACTCCAACAGCCTTAGTGCAAGTATTTAATTAAAGGACAGCTTCACAACTTTTTTGTCTTTCAGTCTGTCTTAAAACAATAGTCAGGTGCCCATATGACAAATGAATAAATCTGAAACAGGTTTTGCTCCCTGTAATCATTCCTTTTGCTCATAATGGCAATTAAGAGATCCCTTCTTAATGTGATATCCAAACTCTATCTAGTTCTGTGCAAAAATACATCATCAATACAAGTTTATCTGAAGCTAATATCAGACTTAAGTACACACATCAGGTAAATATATTGTATTTAGTACAAAATTCCCTCTTTGTGTTTCTGTTCCTCCGCTGCAGCTCGGCTCAGAAACACCGTTTGTGGAAAGAGAGAGGAAGTTTTGTCCTAAAAAGTCTGTAACTTTGGAAAGATACCCACATGATTTGTCTAACTAAGGCTGCGTTCAGGCAGCTCTGTGTGACAAATACAGCCCCCTCATTCATTTGAATGGGGGCAGTCCGGCAGGGTAGAGGAGATGCCAATGCAGAGGGCTCTGGCATAAAAAAAAGAAGAAAGAAAAAGAAATCGTCCGACAAAAAAGTTAAACCCCTCAACTTTTGCCGCAGTGCAACACGGCATCATCCAGCCAAGTGCTGCGTTAGTCAATAAAACACACACATATTGCTGGTGGATTACTTTACAAATAGACTGCCTTATTCCTACTGTGTACCTCACAGATAAACTAATAGCCACCGTTATAACTTTCTAGTTGTAGAATCCTGTCTATAAATACTATAAACCTCTGTGCCGTGTTTTGGCATCAGAGAAGCTTTAAAACTTTACAGACATTAACAGATTTGTTATTCAAACTGGACATCCGGGATCCTATTTCATGTCTCACCTGTCCCTTACGTAACACACCCCCCCATCCACGCAACCCCCTGTATTGTTAACACAGGGATGATTCAAACTGAACGCCCGCCTAGCCCGCTAAAGCTGCAGACAAATTTAGGACATTTTTGCACAGAACGAGGACTGTAGATTTGCTCCCCAATCACTTGCATTTGAAGTGCATGAGGAAAGGATATTATAATGGCCAGTGAATAGGAGGAATGTTCAAACTAGACTTACTAGAACTATCCTTTATGCATTTAAATGAAACCATTTCTGTTCCCGTCGTCTCATGAGAGTCATTTCTGCCTGAGCAATAAGTCTCCAACAAGTCTCGGTGACTCTTGTTTGGAGGTTCAGACTTTTAAACTTCTGTGGCTACAGTGTACAAAAGCTCTGGGCTAGCTTCCCTTTCCCTTCCCACCATTAAGACGATAAGACTTATGATATAGCCTATACTTAGTCACCAACACTTTTCCTGTGTGTGGAGGGGGGAGCACTAGGAAGAAGCACATCAAGCGCAGGAAGAGTGGCGTGTGGCCTGCCCGATAAAAACAAAGACATCAGGGCCTATAGAGCAGGCTTTTGTCCGCGGTTCATTCACAAGGGAAGTCATTGCTTTTCCAAGACGATCCAGCATTGTCTTGCAAAGTAGCGGCCATCTTTCGAAGGGCTCTGCTTTGCTCTGATGTTGGTTTGAATTGGTCTCAAGAGGAGCTTTAGTCAATTACTCTGCTTATTTTTGACCTAAATTGTGCTCGTGTTTGATCTAAACTATCATTGTGACTGTGGAACTAACAATTTATTGGTATGTTTATGCTTTGTGGTTTCAGACTAGCTTAGGTTATTACACAATTAGGCTTACTGGTCATGTTTTAATTTAGCCCAGCAAGGGCGAGCAATAACTTGTATGATTAATTCAGTTGAAAATAACAACTTAGTTCCTTAAGTTGTATAGATTTAGGAAAACTTTTTGCAAGAGAGATCCCAAATATTACTAGAAATAGAAGTTAGTAAAGCTTTTAAGTCACTCAGGCTTTAGTAACGTCCCCATAAAAATGTGCATCACAGTGCTGAGGTGGAAAATTATTATTATTAATGTACAGAGTAAATAGCAGTGGGCCTAATATCGATCTTTAAAGGAATGCCTATATATCAACTATTTGGGGACTTGAAACAAATGGCAACAACAGTTTGAACATCAAAACTCAGGAAGGGAGTTACGTAACAAAATGTTCAACAGTATTAAATCTGTTGGACAGACCTACAAAGAAGGCAGCGCTGTGCTTTTTATCAGTGTCATCTAAAGCAACAATTATTGTGCTACGACCAGGACGAGTTGTGAGCCGACGAGTGATTCTAGGACGTTTTGACAGACAGGACGGCTTGAATATAGGTCAACAGTCGTTTAGATATTAATGTGAATAGTTTAATTCATTTACATTACTTCAATTTCTATTTAAAACTGCAGATTGCTACGGTACGAGAGCCAGAATACACCATCTTAAAGCTACAAGGCAGTCAGACAGGCTGGGGGAATAGTGTTAATCACTAATTTATAATTTTCTGTTTTGCAAAGTGATGACTTAATGACACACAAGCTCAACTGGTCGGCATCTCGGCGTAAACCGAGCGACCACGCGTACCAAATTCAGCAACATTTGGCTGATGAGGTGTTAACTTTCTGCCCTGCTCCTAGACATAATCCTCTTCTCACTCAGGTAGGGCTTGTTTCATTTGAGTGAACAAGAGGGCTATGACGTTCACTACGTGCTATTTTTGACGCAGGTACCATGCCAGGGGAGAGTCACACCATTCCTGTCTCACTAGACAATCAAGAGATCACGTTAATATATCCTCAGAGCGTAAATCAAAGCGCTTTCCCTTTCCCTCTCTCTTTTGGCGCACATGTTTGTATACAGTTGAGCAGAAGAACACAATTCAGCTACCCAACCAATAACAAGAAGGGACGTCGGACTACAATCCAAAGCATGAATGAAAATATGTGCTTGATGGAGATGATCCTCTGGATAGTTACACCTGCCGTCTATAGTGGTGCAACCTGTATGAGGGTTGACAGTGATATCTCAAGAGACTGAGCTAATAAAAAGTCATGCTGAGCCAAAATCCTGCCATATTTTTTTGCGTATAAAGCACATTATTGTGGACCTATATTCTTTTCTGTTGCACTGTTTGCTGCTTTCTCAAATACCAGTGACATAGGGAAAGAAGTCACCTCCACCTCCTAAAAAAACCAAAACAACCAGTCTTATTTCAACTATAGTATATCTGCAGTGACTTATATGTGCCTATTTTTACCCAGTTCCTACAGGAATCAGAGCAACATAAGCAGAAAATGAGTGGGAGGGGCAAACAGGAATGTTAATTAGGTATCAACTGTAGTCGCCTGCGTAAATTAGGAAAAAAATAAAAAAATAACCCTGGTTAAAGAGGTGGAAATACACCTTTAAGCATGCAATTGTATTTTTATTCCAATTTTCACCATCTCTTGCTCTTGCAGTTAACTTTTTTTCCATCCTAGCTCCACTTTTCTCAGTTTTAAAAAAAAAAAAAAAAAGCATCTTACTTACTGCCTCCTTGCAAGTCTTTAAATAAATACAATAAAGGGTTTCTGCAGCTCAGTAAATCACAAGTAAATGTTACTTATCATTATGAAAGAGTAGCCGGGCTGTAGTTGAATGGCACGCAAAACTTTTTTTTTTAAAAGTATATGTTCGCGATGTTAGCCTAAATATATAGAAAAACAACAATGCATGTTAAGATTTAGGTGCATCGGTGTATAGAAGTAGTTGTTTTGGAGGTGCAGTGTGGTAGGTTTGTGGAGAGGGGGGGGAGAGAGAAAGAAGAAATCATCGTAAGTTACAACCAACACAAAAGAAACGAGGGAATCTAGCAGCGGTTCAGTAAAGCCAACCACTACTCTTCATCCACCATCCTCCTCTTCACACAGTCACCATCATCATCATCTGTGTGTGAAGCACAAGGCTCTCTTTTAGCTTTGGGGAAATAATAGAAAGGGAAGGAAAAGACGGACCACGCTCTGTAAATACAATTTAAAAAAATAAAAAAAATAAAAAGACCCGCGGCGAATCAGTCCGCCATAAAAAAAAATAAAAAATAAAACATTACGGAAAAGGTTCGTAAAAATGTTAACTCCCCCCCGCCCCCCGCGCTTACACCAACAACACCACCACCTTACCTCCAACCCGGTACATGTTCGCTGCCATGACTGCCCCCGGTCCCTGGCTTCCTCTCCAGGTAGAGGGGTGGCTCTCTTCTCTTCTCTCGCGTTGCCGGAGCTGTGTTAGCACTGCCGCCGCTGTGTGTTGGAAAATGGTGGATTGATCAATACGAAACAGACTAGCCGAGAGACCTTAAAGAGACAGTGCACTTTATTTTTTTTTATTTTTTTTTTTACTTCCAAACCCCCCGGAACTTTGGCAGCATTATTTCATTGAATTAAATTTTAGTTGGGGAATAAAATACTCATTTAATTAACGCTGCTAGCTGGAGTTTGGTTACCGTTAGCCGTTAGCATTTTCAAAATGTGGCCACTGTGGCTGTGCCCCGCGGGTGACGTCACTGGCTCGGCCAAAGCCCCAACGGTTGTACCGTTACTTTAGTTACTAAGTAACGTTACCTGCGTACTTAATGACCTGGAGAAGTTGGGATACTCATATATATATTTTTTTTTTTTTAAAGCAGCCTGACAAGCAAACAATGACATATAACTCTACCCTCTGCATATATTTCCAAAAAATAAATTGACTTTGACTTTGGCTTGACTTCAGGCTGCACTTATTAATAAGAAACATTTGCCACAGAACCCACATTTTGCAATCAAAACCCACAGACAGGTGAGATAACTTTAATATAATAATAATTATACAATCTGAGTAAAGTATTCCTTATCATAGCACTTGGACAACTATGTCATGCCTTTGCCATTCCTAAGAATTAACATTAAACTTGCAGAACACTACTGAGTGGTGCACATCAGAGGGGATTTAGAAATGGATATTACCCTGCACTATGCCACTGGGCACAATTAATCAAAATATTATCACAATAAGGCCTACAGCAAAATCCAAATTGCAAGAAGCTGCAGTTTTTGATAAAAGTCAAATGTGTGACAAACAGCATTATAATGAAGTGCTGCAGTGCTGCAGGGATGACCTGGCCTTCACATTTTGCCCTGTAGACGTAAGAAAACGTGTTTGTTTGGTACAAACCCCCAGATAATGTCACATATTCATGATTTTCTTTTCAGAGAAATTACAATTTTGGATGCAAAAATGATAATTCCCACACTAATCATGAATCATATCGCAATATCTGTCAAAATAATCGCAATATGATGCTTTTACCGTAACGTTCAGATCTAGTATAGATTATGATTAAGAGAAATAAAGTAAGTTTAGTGTGGATCTGGGCTCGGTTTGATTGAACTTACAGAAACTAGTTAACAACTATGTGTCATACAATAAAACACAATATTTAAAGGTAAAACCTCAGTTGTACACCTTAGAAGAGTTAATAATAAAACAATTTGTGGACACGTCCCAAAGTTGGTATATATATATATATATATATATATATATATATAAAGAAATCTGAAACTTGGTGTGCCAAAAAAAATTAAGCTTCCCTGTCGTATCCCTTAAAACCAGTGCTGAGATCCCAAATTACTCAGCTCAGTGGTGTCAAGTGAGGTCCACAAACCACCAGGGGACGGCCCCATGGGGTTACTGGCAAAGAGGAACGGGCTTAGTTACTTTTAATTAATGTGTCTAAGAATGGTTACTAAACCCATACGTTTATCCCTAAGCGCTGTGACAGTAACTGCATGAATGTTAAAGATTACATTACACATAATGGTTGGTACCTGATTGTTGGGGTGGCACACTTTCATTTAAATGTTTATGTAAGATGGCCTTTTTCATTTCATTGTATTGGTCTGTAGGCTTTATAGATAGATTTAATTATTTTCTAATAAGTGCAAAAAGATGGGATGCTCTTAAATTTAGGTTTTCTTCTCATGATGAGAGTCTTTAAATTTGCTCAGTAATAAGAAAAAAAATCAAATATATTTTCCCTGTCTAATCGCTTTTTTTTTTATCCACATGCAATAAATGGTGTGGTAGCAATTAAAGTTTCTGATCAGATCATCATTAATCAAGCTGAGAAATAATTTCCATGCTACAATTCAGGTTTATTTATTATTCTATTATTTAATGCAGTGTGGTATGAAGCTCATATTCACACATATTTTAGCTCTGTGAGGCAGAAAGTTGCACAACACAATGTCCTGCAGCGTGCAATGAGGGCAGCGCAGTGACTGATGGTATGATATTATGGGATACACAGGATTCTGGCAGCATCACAGGGAGGCGTATCAAGCTTATTACAACCACCTATGGACCTGCATGTATGTGGGCAAATAGAAAGTGGGCAGGATTTTGTAGTTTGGCATAAGCTGCCATAGAAAAATTTGATATATTTTGTACTGCAAGACAAACTAGCAGCACTGTTAAACATGTACCATAAACACAGCCGCTCTCATTGGGAAATATAAAATAGGGTCGAGCATACAGAGGGGCAAGAGAGAGAAAGTGTAGTCTTTTGGAGATAGTTGTTTGATTAGCTGCAGTTTTCATTGTGGATACAAGCGTGGAGCCTCTGTGCTGGAGGAATGCTGTGGCGAGGGCTACATCTGATCTATACCATATGGAAGCCTCAATTACTGTTTTCTAACACAGGGGACTACAGTCTGCAGTCACATGACCGCCATAAGCCAATCATGTGTACTTACTGTACGCACTCCTGCTCAAGTGTGCAGCCTCAATGTTGGATCTGTGCTGCATTGGAGAGATCCTGTATTGTGTCCCGGGGCTCTTTCATGAAAAAAGAACGAGAGACAGATAGATGTGTTTGTGTTTATGTCCTACGGGTGTGTACATCTATTGTCATTCAGACTGAAATATAGTTAATTTGAGAATATTTTTTTCCATGATTATGTGCAAACTAAAAGGTGTTTTTAATGTGTATTATGATGTTGTGTTACAGAAATTACCCTTGTGTATTTCTGCATATTATATATTTATTGCTCACTGCTATGTGCAACATTTCTGCATGAAACACCATCACAGCCATTATCTGTCCGAATATTGCTGCATGTTGTTTAAGACAATGCTCACTCTATTGCAGTTTATTTCATATGCTTACCTTGCTAACTGACTTTCCTTTGGAGCAATAAAAATGTACAGTATTGCAGTATATTACAGCATATACCTGCACAATGTGTGTGTTATATATATCACATAGCAACTGACACAAGTGAGCTGTCTTTTTAAGCTCTTGTAATATTCCCCCAATAAACTGGGAAGTAAACGATGCCAATCCTTAATAATATGGTCTTAATTAAAGGAAAATAGGTGGTCAACAATGTGGCCTTGTGTTTGGGAACTGTAACTACTTTCATTAAGACTGTTTGCTTACTTGGCTGCTTGCTGTTGTGCAGATGTTCTTTTTGAATCCACTTGCTCCTCTGCCAGATGTTGCTGCAGTCAGAGACACGGGCAGGCGAGCATGCAGGCAGAACACTATACAGCACAGAGCAGTGCAGGTGTTCTCCCTGATGAATCTCAGTCTGTGGAGATGGATTGGCTCGAGACACAGAGCGTCTGCAGAAACTCCCCTCCATTCGCGCGCAGTCCCAGAGGGTGACCTCTGATGGCCTCTCTTTCTTTCGCCTACTTTCTTCCTTCTGTCGTCGTCTTTCTTTCCTCTTTGTAGCAGGAGAGACACAGACACAGAGGAAATCAATTAGGCCTGTTTCCTGGCAGAAACCATTCCATATCTGTGATTGTGCTTCCTCATTTGTTCTCTCACTGGGGGTTGTGCTTGGATCCAGAGACACTATGGGAGGTACAGCAATAAAGAGACTATTGTTAGAGCAATTTCTCCTCTACATGTAAGTCTGTATAGGTGTGTCCGTATTAACAGTGGAAAAACGCCGGGATTATCCAGTCATTTTTATTAAGGAACAATACCTGTGATTGTGTTCCCTGGTGGATGTTCAAACACCATTAAAAGGGTGTTGCCTACACCCCTCACTGTCAGCCAGGTTAGTGACACTTGCCTTTTAAGCCACGCCGCAGCCTTTGTTTGGTCATATCAAGTCACAACCTCCTGCTCTGAGTCATGCACTAAGTATAAGGCATAGTTAATGTTAAATAAACATTACTTGCTTTGCCACAGTGCAGCAACAGCAATTCAAAGAGACCCCACACTCTTGAATCTACACACAAAACTACTCATCTGCACCTCCAACTGAAGAGACATCACCACCACATTGCAGTCTAAACAAAAGACTCATAAAAGGTGCAGTCTATCAAGTGACACAAGTACAGTTTTTTTTTTTTTATTGAATACAAGTCTTGAAACGTGACAGTTCTCTGTTGCAGACTTCATTAGTGACAAGCCATGCTTTAACAGCTCTGAAAGCTTTGGCACAAAGCAGCGCTGACTCTTTTAATTGGGAATCTCTGCTGTAGGGGATCTGTCAGACAGATTTCACAGCTAAAAATATCAGTAACTGAAAGGATACAGTGCCTCACAGGACATACAGCTTGTGTTTATTAATATCAAACTACAGGGGGAGCTATTGTCTTGCTTTTGACAAAATGGGCAGTTGATAGAAAGGGGTAGCGGCTTTGCATACAGAGGCCATGCATAGCTGGATATAGTGCCATCCATAATCTTTAGCTCATATAAAACATGTATTTAAGCTCCAGGACCTTTAAGAAACCATCAAAATGGCTTAGTGCCAATGAGTACATGGAAAACAAGATGCTCCATGTTGCACTTACCTCAGTCCACCAGCAGGAGTCATCACTCACACATCCCTTTTCCATTGTCCTCATTTGCCTCTCTAACAAAGCAGTGATCTTGTGGAAGAGGAAAAAAAGGACCGGAGGTGCAGCCATCCCTAACACTGGAAATTACTCTTAAGTGAGTTATCATGAATTCTGGGACGACGGCAGAGAGCAGCTTCAGGGTGGCACACAAAGATGTTTACCGTACACCTCAAAGCATGACATAAATCACTCTTGGCCATGATGTCCTCATTATTGAATGCAAGAAAGCTGGTTTACATTCAGGGCTGTGCGTGTTGCTTTTTGAAGTCCTTTTTCAGACTGTCATCTGTTACTGCAGACAAGGCTTGGCCAGAAACACTCAGCCATACTTTGAAGGCCACTCAAGAAACCTTGGCCCTAATCCAAAGGGATTAACCATATTGCATTTGTGGGTTATTGATACTGTGACCTTCACAGAATGAAAGCAGAATA